CTGGCCATGCAAACTCTAAACCCTATAGTCCCGCTCAAGTAGATAGAATATGGGGTATATGGGGATCTTATGATAATATACCCAAAGCCATATTCTATCTACTTAAGGGGGACTACAAACCCTAAACCCTAGGGGTTGTGTTCCACTGCTTACTGCCATCCAGCTGCAGGTTGAACTTGTGGCGAGTCTGTCGCAACCTGCATAGATGAGGGGTATCTGAGGGGACACCATAGTCCCATAGTGATGGAAAATCACCTGGCAAAGACGATGGTACAGGAAATGAAGCTAATTATGGACCCCAAATAAGGCAGACTCAAACGGACAAGAAAATGGAAGATGATATCGAAACTACCATTAAGCACAATGTTGGAGATGCAAGCGTCTGAGTGCTTTCTCACAACCAGGACAAACTTGATGAAGCAGCATGAGCCGCACTGCCGTTTGTGCAGGCCAAAATCTTGCTTGCTTCTTTAGAACCGATCATGGCAGCTGGGATTTAGCTTAGATGATCTTGTTGACCAAGCGCACTGCGGCTTTGGTGTGGGAGCCAGGTACTGCCAAGGGCTTCGGTTGTCTCGGTTGTGCGGACGAAATACCCTTTGGCTTGCTCAATATAAACAAACCGTGCGACATTAGCGAAAATGAACATGTGCAGTGCGCTGCGGAAAATACAACTGAAACTTGAAGAATGTCAAATGCGGTACATGAGCTGTACTACTTGCTGCAATGCAGCACACTCAGACGCGCATGCAACATCATTTATGGTACCTCTACTCACCATACGCGCACGAAACAGGATGCACGTACTGCGCATGTTCTGTGCGGAACAGTTGTTCAACTTGTGAGTGTTACAAGGCTGTGCCCCAGAATACAGCTCAGTTCTCCAATGCTGGAGAATGCCAGAAAGACCCCATGCTGTTTTTTTAAACGCGCATTTGTACCCGCGGCTCTTATCGATCATCCCAATCAACAGGTTCTCGTGGCTGTTGCTTAGATGTGCCATTGGCTAAACTCCTATTATCCCCCTAAGTAGTTCCCTGTATAACTCCCGTCTAAGGAGTTTAGACTATAGCCCAGATGTGCCAGCACATGTGAGTGCCCAGCACGAACCATCTGGTTGTGAAGAGCTCGCACCCGCTGTGACGCATTTTTGTACCTGCCAACATACAGTATCCGTAGAACCTGGTCAGCACGCAGCAATATGGCTATTGGGGCCTTCTAGAAAGCGCAATGCTGCTTGGACTTGCCAGCCCCCAAACTATCTGAGGGTCGAAAGCACATGCAGTTCATGGAAACCTCACACAACGCAGGCTGGCGCATGTACTCGCTACCGAATGTAGGCTCTTTGCTAACGCGTAGGGGCACTCTTCCCAGGAGTTGGCAAATTCTGGGCTTGATTCGCCAATGGATCGGATCGACTGGATGGAGTCCTGGTGCATGAGCAACTTGTCATTGGAGGCTGTTGGGTCATGCCTTGGTTCGTGCATTTCAGCGTTTGCACAGAAGAAAACCTATGTGAAGTTTTTCCAGAAATAAACGGCCTGCGAGCAGAGCTTCGTACATGAGTCGCTGACTCACCTGGTGGCTCCAACACAAGCCGTTTGCCATAATAAGGCTTTCTTGACACAGAGATGCGTTCGAAAGGAGGGGTGATTGCATCTTCGCATGGCCCCAGTGCTTCTTCTTCATAAGCAAGAGTCTTTGGCAAACATGCCTCAAGAGTGGAAGTAGTTGGCCATCTGCAACAGGATGCCTGCTCTCACAAACGCTAGCCTCACTATGCATCTGCTTTCGTAATTATGCCTTATGGCAGGCTGCTGCCACCGTGGCTGTTGGGCCGCTACAATAGCAACGCCTCTACAACTAGGAATGTCTTTTGTGCTGAGGTCATAACCTCGTGACTGTGAAAAGTTGAAGGCAGTCGCAGCATTTTTGCTGCCTCGCGATCGTGTGTGTCCACCCAATTCTCCCCCTCGAACCTGAAATTCACCACGCCTTCTAAACCCCGGATCCCTCAAACCCTGACCTCTCTACACTGCTGGCATCCTCCTAGACATCCTGACAAGCATGTGCAAATCAAAAGTCTTCCTGAAACCTGAGAATCTCCGTAAACCCCGCTCCTCCAGTGTATCAGAACCATGCGGGGAAAAGCGCGGTGAGAGTATGCCGCGTTGGAAACGACCCTCGAGCAGCCTCAGCATCCAGGTTGAGATTGCAGGTCGGTGAATCTTTGTAGAGCTTTCAGGACTGCTGGGGGGTGCATAGGAATAAACCAGCCCAAGTGGTAATCTCAAAACATGCCGGCCCTGATGGTCACCCAAAAATGCAGCCATATTCGCAGATCCCCCAAGGAGATACCGCTCAAGCTCGATCTTTAGCTGAGAGATAGAGGCTTACAAGGAGTGTGCTCATCTGAGCAGGTTCATGATAGTATGACATCATAATACCAAAACGCTATGAGCATGTGCCAGCGGTATCTTCTCTGAAGCCACCCTGTTAGGTTGGAGCTCTCAACATTGGGGCCTGACCCGAAAAAAAAGACAAACCATAATCCCAGTCCATACCCTTCGAGGAATGCCCCTGCCGCATTCACGACCCATCCCCAGATAGGGGTCACTGAGCTTCGCGCCCAATATTTGCGCTGACACTTCTCTGTACACCATAGCCCTTCGAAGCAGACCTCTGGAGTGACACACACACACACATCACAACAACGGGGTTTCCGAAGCTCAGTGGTTCTTTCTAGGGGTCACGATAATATTGATTGTACTATGTTGGGGTATTAAAGGGGGATCCCTTGGCGGCGAACCCGCATATCAATCTTCTTAAAAGCCCTTGTGGCAAAGAAAGACTTGTTGGATGACGCCGGCGTTGATGCAACCTACATTTGAGGTAGATAGGCCTTACGCCCCCAATCCTCTGACTGCTTCTAACCGTCAAGGACTTATGCAAAACTTCCTCTACCATCCCCATACACTCCTTCCATGATCTCTTTACGATCAGCATGCCCTTCCTACATGCAGACAGCAGAAGCCTTCCATACCGGCGCAACGTCTACATTACTCACCTGTGGCTAGCAAGGGATGAGGAATGGAGCTTTGCAGTAGGCCCTATATGATCAACCGCACAAAAATCATGGTTGCCATTGTCTTTTCCTGTCCTTCATTCCCTGATAACGAGAGGTAACAGCACCAACCCGATATCAACGCTAGATTCTATTGCATTTTCAACTTTCTTTTCCACTTGATTCTCCATTATCAGGGTAATGTCCTATACAACTCCTTTCAAAACCCATATGGATTGTTCCCAAAATTATGGGGCCCGTTTGGTCATGGATTGTATTCTGTCACGTGCCCACTATTTAGGGGTGCCAAAATGGGACCCTAATTTTGGTATCTAGCCATATAATCTCCGTTAAAACCCTAAACCCTAAATCCTGAAACCCTAAACCCCTTAGACCCCTTAACCCTACATCCTATAACCCTAAACCCCTTAAACTTCTTAACCCTAAATCCTCAAACCCTAAATTAATCCTAAAATTCCTAAACCCCTTAAACCCTAAGGTTTAAATCCTACAACCCTAAACCCCTTAAACCCTAAACCCTAAATCCTAAAACCCTAAACCCCTTAAACCCTAAACCCTAAACCTCTTAAACCCTAAACCCTAAATCCTTAAACCCTGAACCCATTAAACCCTTAACCCTAAATCCTAAAACCCTAAACCTCTTACACCCTAAATCCTAGAACCCTAAACCCCTTAAACCCTAAATCCTAAATCCTAAATCCCCAAAACCCTAAACCCCTTAAACCCCAAATCCTAAATCTGAAAACCTAAACCCCTTAAACCCTAAACTCTAAAGCCATCATTTTCCTACTTGCCTCGGCGAGGGAGACCGCGGAGACCTAGGAGAGCCCCCTGTCGCCGCGAATGCCTGGGCCTGCACGGGGTCTCGGGTTTTAGGGTTTTAGGGGTTGAGGTTTTGGGGGTTGATGGTTTAGGGGTTTAGGGGTCTAGGGTTTAGGGCTTCAGGGTTTAGGGTACAAAACATGTATATATGATATTGGCAGGTCTCCACATAAGAACAATGGAAAATGGCAACTACTATTGTTTGGAGAT